GGGGGGGGGGGGGGGGGGGAGGGGGATAAGTCAAGTAAGAGGTTCATTTCGGCACGGTGTTTCGCGCCACTCGGTCCGCCTCTTCGCGTTTTCTGCCTTTCCTGGCCGTCTCGTCCGCCTGCTGTACCCCTCCCACTCCCGTGGTTGTTGCCGTGTCCGTGTTGTTGCCGGGCTTCTTGTTTCGTTTGAGCGCTCGTTGTCGGCTAGCCTCCCATTACGTACCGGAATTTCGTTGCCGAACTGCACCACGTACAGTATCATGCAATGATATCATATCAGCATACATGCAGATAGATGCACAAAGACGGCTACCAAACTGCTGTCTTGTTGAGCCTATTACCCACAGGGGAGATATCGCTGTGTGCTGCTCCGGAAACCGTGGAAATACAGGTAGCTTTCTCTGACGCTATGAGTTCGTTGCTATTCTATCTTGGACTATTTTCTTAGATACATGAAGAGATGGATTCGTTGGGCCATATTCAGAAAATAAGAAAATATATACATGTGTAACAACATAGCTATGTGGCACACCACGAAGGAGAGGGGCAAACGGCCAAAGAGGTTGAGAAGAACACTGGCCTGTGTGCTCTGTGTTCCTACTGCTGTAGTTCACGACCTGGAAAGGCAGCCCATCTAACCGTTCGAGATAATTTTTTTTTAGAAAACGCTGCGGTCTATTTTAAATCAGAGACTACCCTTTCGAGATACAACCACAACAGCAGCAGATCGAAGGGGGTGGGTCGAAGTCGTTTACAGCAGTGAGTGGAAGAAAAACATTTTACAGACAAGAGGGGTTACCTTTACGCAGCAGTCAGTGGAGTTTTATCTTGTTGGACCGAAAAAAAAAAAAAAAAAGGAGTCACGTGCTAGCGGGGTGGCGTACGCCTTGGCAAGTGTGCTGGCTCCAAGCAGCAAGGCAAGGAGCAGCGGCCGCGCGTGTGTTTGTATGGAGGTGTCTTCAGTTTCGAAGGAACTAACAGAGCATGAATGACAAGCTCGCGATCCTCCTGGGCTGTCGCAGGGGCGGGGTGCTGTACTCCGACATTCCAGGGGCGTGCTTCGTCTTTTGCGTCTTCTGGCTCGACACAGCAGCCGTTCTTGTGGATGGGTGAACGAAACCAGAACGGGTAGTCTTTCTGTGAGATTATGTTTACTTTCTAAAGATCACCAATCGATTGATTCCCCACCCGCTAAAGTTGCGCGTCTAATCGTCTGGCGGGCAGTCGATGTGGTCTTGGCAAGTTTGGCGCCACTGCCCGTTATCTGGCTCGCCTTGCATACTCCCCATGTAGCCGCGTGATTGCACACAGCTGAAAAACAACGCTTGCGGGATAATTCAGGTGGAAGCGGAGGGGAAGCTGTACTCGGTTCCTGAGGGCGTGGAGATGCTCACCCCGCCTCCGCAGGGCGAGTTGGACCAGTGGTGGAAGGTACGTTGCGGTACTATTTTTTTTTGCTGGTAATGTCGTTAAGGTGTGCCAAGCCATGTACGTGGTGGGAGTATAGACACGTTTGGGTTACCTCAAGTAGGTACCACAAGGTGTTTGTTACACCATCTCACCAGGGATGGATACTCGAAGCTCGATCACCCCACGACGAGGAGAATGTATTAACCATACGATAGCTCTTGTCGGAGGATGCATACCTAGCTCTCGACATAACGGTTCCAACGCCACCGCCATCGACGCCGCCACGCTTTCCGGTGCGGGATGATCAAGGTTTTGAAAATCGGTCCGGTAGGCGGTTTGTGGTATCTCCCCGTCTCTTACGGTACACGTAGAGGATCAGCGAACGTGCGTCTTGTTCGCCGCCGTAGTAGGCTATGCGTTCAATGCAGGGGATTCAAAATTTCGCGTTGGAAGAAAGCCACGGTTGTTGTTGATTTGAAACGGGGTGCGACTATTTTCTATTTAGTTGCATCGGGTACTTCTGGTGCCGTGCGAGAGCACGGGGTCGCCTGTCGCTTCTTCGAAACAAACGACGTTTCGTTCGGTCGTTTATTCCGCAAATATTGCGGCGCGGCAAGGCGTCATCTTTTTTCTTGTGTGGAAGAGCTGTCTCACCCATGACAAGATCCATCGAACGCCTTCGAAATAGATAGGGTCAAGGGGTCTTGAAGTACCGTACTACAAGTATACGACACAAGATAACAACCCCCCTGGACCGATTTTCAAGCTTGGTTCCGCCACGACGAAGAGGATGCATAAACGAAACGCCAACGTTTTCGGAAAACTCTCGACGACGCGGCTTCAACGCCTCCGTTTTCGGCGCTGTGATTCGTTGGCTGTGGAGAAATCGAGCTTTAAAAATCGGTCCAGGGGGTGTGTTGTCTTGTGTCGTGTACGGTAGCTTCGCTTTTCTCGAAAATGCGATGAGAACAACTCGAACACTAGCATCTGTCTCGTTTGATTACCCGCCCCCGGGAGACAAACCACCCGAGCCGCAAGCACACAACAACTGGTCTAAGCACAACATCTGTCTGTTTTCTTGGTTGCTTTGGCAGGAGTTCTTTCGGAAGTTCAGGGAGTTCTGTTCCGGCGGAGCAAACAAAGCGAAGGTCGTTGGTTCGGATTCAGCACGACCATCAGGGGACGCTGCGGGGGACCAGGGCAACAGCAGCCAAAGGTACAAGCTGTACACATGCGACATTGTTTGTGTGTATATTATCCAAGTAAAATATCCTGGCCTGAAAAGCTATAGTTAGTGGGAAGAGACGTGTACACAGAGGAAGAGAGTGCTGCTCTCTTACTCGCATTAGGAATCGAAGGCAAAGCACCGCAGGAAGGATGGGTAGGGGGGAACCCTTCTGTGTGACCTCGGGCTGGAGTAAACGGCACGAATGCCGTGAGCGCTGATTCGAAGTGAAGACAAACAAGAAATAATGGAAAAGAAATGGCACACCGCAACGTTGTTCATGGTAATGTAATGCACTGTATGCATGTATCCAGCAAAGGTGCTAAGTCTTGGTCTTGTGTATTTCAAGTAGAGGTACACAGCGACGTCTTTTTTGTGTTTTTAAGTATGTATCCGAAAGCACAAGAGCCCATCCGCCCGTTAGTACGGTCCATCAGAGCTCGAATCGAGAGCGTACTCAGCACTCCCGTATACTTCAGGGTTGGCACTGGGTCCGCAGCAGTAGTTGCGAGTTATCGTTAGCGGTGGTCAAACGACACTGGGTGGTGCACTTGTTGATTTGTCTCAAGTCTAACAAGAAAGTGAAAGATCTCTCTACCCCCCCCCCCCCCCCGCCTTCCGCAGCGACAGCGATAACGGTGGCGACGACGACGGCACCGTGCAGGGGGAAGCGGCGGTGGCAAACAAGGACGTGCGGTCCGCGGGGGAGCACTCTTGCCAGATCTGCTTCGACCAGGACCATTCCACCGTGATGCTGCCCTGCGGACACGGCGGCCTGTGCTGGGACTGCGGCCTGCAGATCTACGCCCTCACGGAGGAGTGCCCCATGTGCCGGACCAAGATTGAGCTGGTGAGCTGGCTGCCCGTGCTTTTTGGTGGTTGCTGTTGTTATATAGTACTGGTACGGGTGGTGTGGTAGAGGTGGTGTTGGTTTGGTGTTTGCTGGTGCTGTTGGTGTTCCTGGTGCTGGTGCTCGTCGTGTTGTCTTGACACTCGAAACCGTTCCGACCTCTGTAGCCCATCCAGCGCCTCCTCTTCCCGGGAACCCGGGAAGCCCATCCCGAGCGGTGAATAAACCCATTTCGAGAACCGCCAACGGTGTGCACGTGGTATGGTATGTAGGCTACCACCCAGAAGGAGATGCACACATGGAACAAACGAAACAAGAGACTCACATGGCCGTGTCTTGTGCGCTTGTGTGTCCAGCTGTGGTGAAAGAGCGTGGTGATTGTGGATTTGCTGGCGTTGTTTTCTAGGGATGTCGTCTTTTTTGCTCGAAGAGAAAGAGGAGGAGCTTCTGGTTGTGGTCCTCCTTTTGTTGCTGTTTCTTGTTCTTCTGTGGGAGACTGCTGTGTGTCCTACCCAGAGCTACCGAATGGTCTATAGAGGTGTGCACGACGACACGCCGTGTTCTCGTCCCGTTTGCTGGTGCCTGTTGTTCGATGTGTTTCCAGATGACGGGGAGACCACAGCACAAGACGGTCGCCAAATGCCATCGTTTGTCATTGCTTTACAGCTACTAAACAACAGGCATCATGATATTTCCAGACTCAACCAACATTTCCAGTATCTGCCTGGTTTCGTCCAGCCCTACCACTACTAGGACAAGATCATGCGCTCACGAATTCCGTCCTCCCTGCGACCCTCCGCTTTCCGCCCGGCTCCCCTGTTCGCTTGTGTTGCCTCGCCCCCTTCTTTCTTCCTGTCGTTGTCGCGTGTTTGTTTGCTTGCCGCGTCATCTGCTGAAAAAAAAAAAAAAACGGGACTGGACGTCACCAAAATGGGAAAATCGACCTTCCAACGAAATCAAAATTGGGAAAAACCCCAAAACAATTAACAGCTGGTACAGTTGGATGGCGAGAAGCGAAGATATGAAGGAGAGGACGAGTACGTCTCGGCCCTTTGCGCGTAAACGTTTTTCGGGGGTCCGCGTGAGTCCGACCGTCGGTGCTACGTCTCGCTGTCTCTCGCTCCTTTCCCTCTACGTGTCTTTCGGTATCTTGTACTTGGCACTTGGTCGGCGGGTGTATGTAGGCGGGCGGGATTTTGACTTGATCATGGTTTGTTTTATCTCTTGAGTCCCCGGATCGTGATTAGAGCAGGATTCCCTTGAGCTGCGGAAGTTCTAGAGCCTTCCTTGTCGCCGACAAGGCCTTTTCGTTGTCGTTGACGGTGTGCGCGTGCTCGGCCTCGCTGGTTTTCTCCATCTCTCGCCTTGAGATCTGTATCGGAAATTTATTAGTGTCGGGCGCGCGCGAGAGGGGCGAACGGATCGAGCCGGAATTGAACGGCAGGGGAGGGCGGAGACGAACAGCCCTTAGAGAGGTACATGACGGCATCGCCTGTTTTTCTTGTGTCGTCGAGCTGTTAGACCGTGTTTCCGGGGCCCCGCCGTGGTGCTGGCGGCGGGGCTCTCGCGATGAGCAAGGGTGGATGGCGAGGCCCCCTGTCTGTCCGCATGTATGTATTGATGGTTGATTTGGTGTGTGTGCATAGGTGGTAGAGAGTGTCGTGCGATGATGAGTTTGGACCACTACAACAGCCGTTCTCGCCGTTTTCCGGACAAGCAAAACGGTGTTTCTAGAGAGAATTGCGTGGCTTTGCCGACCCGCGGGGTGGAACCTGTCGAGGATGTCCAACACCACGACGATTTGGTATCGAAGCTCCCCAAGTCAGTAGGTGGATAGTTCACGCACACACACACACGTCTGCGGTTGTTGGTGTTCGCCTTGTTTTTGGCTTGGGCGTGTGTTTTTTGTTTGTTGCTCGCTCGAACGTCGTTCGTTTGTCAAAAGCCGGGAACGCGCGGCGGTGGTGGCGTTGAGGAGGATGAGGCCACGGGACGCTGGGCAGACGTGTCTGTCGATCTGCCTGTTGTAGTTTTTCGTGTTCTTGCTGGGCTGGCGCGCCTGTCTCAACAGAGGGCTTGTTGTGATGAAGATGTGTGTTTTGTGTGCGCGTGTGGCTCCCTCGCTTTGTGGTCGCTCATCAATCGACTCCGACTCAGTCCGTTGTCGTTGCCCCTCTCACGGAAATAGTTGCTGTTTTCGTGTTATCTGAGTTTTCGTGGGGCATGGCCAACAGGTCTTTCCCGTGTCCTTTCTCTTTGTTTTCGTAGCACCTGGCCGAAGTGGTTTCTTCTGTTTTCGTACAACTCGGCCTGATTTTTCGGGTGGCCTGAGATCCTTGCAAGCAAGGTATTTTTCGGAGTGAATCGTGAGGGGGAGGTGTGTTGCGCGCTCGTTCGTGCCGCTACAACTCACGTGCCCCCCGGAATGTGATCACTCCGTTGAGCGTGTAGAACGCTTGTCTGTCTATTGCTCCCGGATCTCTAGCTGTTCGTTATCGTGCCAATGGTGTTGCTGTTCAGTAAAGTAAGGCGGAAGAATACGCTGACTGGGGATAGGTGCGAACAAGGAAGGTGGCGGCGCCCGCGGCAGCGCTGCCGCGCCGTGTGCGGCACACGCATACGTACGTACGTTTGTTCGGTTGGAGCGACACCGCAACAGGCGACGCGAAAAAGTGTACACACCATGTCATAGAAACGCATGTACGGTATGCATGTTGTCGTCGAGGCGAACACCTCTTGGGGGTTCTGTGCTTTGACACCGAGCGGGGTAGGTACGCGTAGGAGACTAGGCCGCCCTGGAAGTGGTAAAGGGTTTTATGGACCGGATGCGGCTGCAAAATATATTTTTTCCGTGGAAGGGACACGCGAGGGGGGGCGCATGTATTGCCGCTGGGAGAGATGAACGTTGCAAACCTCGGCAGACGTTTTGACGCCTGAATTTGATGGTGAGGGACTGCTATTGTATCCATTTTCCGATGGACGGGCGAAGGCAAAATATTGCCCAATGCCCGCGGGACAGAGCGTTACAGGGAAGTGCGAGAGCACACGATACCGTCACTACTGGTACGTGCGGCGGTTTGTGATCATGATGACCTGGCTGAAAAACGCGGTAGCCTCAATTGACGGCCGATGCTTGGAAACACTCAACTCACTCGCCCGCCGGGGTGCCCGAGACGCAGCTCGCTGATCCTTTTCGTGGACGATGGGATGAAGTATCATATGATGCCCGTTGAGATGCTGCGGTGGCTTTTGAATGACGGGCCAGGAAGTGGTTGCGCAGCGATAGGAGTTGAAGAGGATTGGAAAAGGGGGCGTATTGGCCAGCTCTTCTCCAACACTCCAAAACACCACCCTCGATGAACCAAACCCACTGCCGTACACAGACGGCACATTGCTTCCAGCTGAGTGTGCTCTCTCGCTCCCAGATATATTGACGCAGACAACAGATACACTCCATCCAAACGTAACACACCCAGAGTTTTGGAGATTTCCTCCGACTTCTTGCTGGCAATACGTGGTGTTGAGCACACACTGAAAAGCAGAACTTCTTGCTGGCAATACGTGGTGTTGAGCACACACTGAAAAGAAGAAATCCTACCTGCAGCAGCACATATACCTACAATACAATCAGTCGTCGCGCTACAGGCTCGAGGAGGGCTACTACGTGTCTAATTGTTCCGATACAGCACGCGCGAATGCCAATCTTTCACACGTCTCAGCGTAATGAATGAAATGCGACTAAATAGCGCGTAGCGCGCGAGCCCTCCCTACAAAGAAAGCCTTGCCCTTCCACATCCCAGCGTCCTGTCAACGCTAGGGAGTCCCCCACTCAGTCTCACCCTTCTCCACCTCAAGACCCAAAGAACAAGCCCACGAGCCGTGCTTGCGCCACCACCGGACCAAGCCAACGCTGCAATGGATTCACTCACAAACTCGGCAGAGGGGCTTGGGGGCGAGACTACACGCACGCGTCACTCTATGAGAATCCCCCCTTCGCTCTGTTTCCAAATGCACCACACAACGAAGCTACAAGTCTTCGCTCTTACTTCCCGATCGAACACACGCTTACTTCCCGATCGATCGGTGGGCGTCCTTACAAACACCCCGTGAAGAAAGAAACGAAGCACGTTCCTCTTCGCGTACGAGAATATCAGTACAACACGGACATCGGCTAGCCTAGCTCCCTTCGCTCCGTCACCGTTATCTCTTCGCAAGAGACAGAAAACAAAAAATTTTAAGAAAAATAAAAAAAAATAACAGCGAGAGAGCGAAAAATAAACACAAAAATGCCAAAGCTTGAAGAACAAAATACTAGGCAGTTCGTTGGATGGTGGCAACTTCCACTCTCCGCACCAATAAGCACCCTCCCTACCTACCAATACCTTCCATGTGGGCAAGTAATCAACCAGCTTCTGGGGGCGAACGTAGCGTGAGGCGGGCGCGTCCAATCAGCCAGCGACACACCAACAATAACCTGTCCCGCGTCTACCGTTCAACTCTGCACCCCACACCCTCTCTCTTGTTCTCGTACAACTGCTGCTGCTGAGCTTCGTTCATCGCCGTGTGAGACACAGTGTACTACGTAGACTTGTATGCATAGCGAAGGAAGGGCCCCCAACTCGGGAAATATTCACTCGTTTGTTCGCTGGAAAGCTTCTTCAGAAACCGTCCAACAGAAGGAGGGGGAAAAGAAAGTCCAAAACACTATTCGTTGGGAAAGAAAAGAAGACGAGCTCCATCTACCAGACCGCACGCTCAAGATCGCTCGAAAAGGCCGTACGGTACACATGCATGATTCGAAAGGTACATTACACTATAGGTCCAACCAACCATAGATTCCATGTCATAATGTTCGTGATTTTCACCGTTTCCCTCCCCGTGCTGCCCTCCTCGCAAGTCAGGCGCGGAGAAACAAAACAACCCGGCTGGGAACACAAACAGCAGGCACTCACACACCGCAGCCGGAAACAAATGTAATAACGCATACGCGACGGGATGTGGTGTTGTGCAGCTGAACTCCTACAACAGTGGGTCAAGACCCGTAAACCCCTGTGGCTCTCTGTCCCTCCTCGACCACAAGCACTCTTCCCCCCTCGAGGCCATCCAACTCACAAAGAATCACTCAGACCGGAGCCTTGCGTTAACCCCCACCCCTCCTCTCTCCCTTCCCCACTTGCAAAAACTACAGCACTAAAAGAGTAGAAGATCAATTCGGAACCCATTGTACCCCTCTCCGTTTTGTCCCAAGGAACAACAACAAACCAACCCAACCAAACCACGTTCTTTAGTTTTGCGCCGCCTCTTGAGCCAGGCGCGCAGAAAAGGCAGAATCGACCGTGGTCTCCCCCCCCCCGCGCTTGTTCGGTTCTTGTGGGGAAAACCTACACCCAGACCGGCCGTCACTGTCCTCTTGTTCCCGCTGCTACTCAGCAGTGACGGAAAAAATCCAACAGGACCCGCCGCCCCCCCCCTTCCACCGTCCCATCTCTCCCAGGGGAATTCCATCAAACGAGCGAGAGCCACGGGACAAAGTCCCTGATTTCTTCAACGACCCACCTACCCAACTCGGCAGGGCGAGAGAAAGAAGAAAAGAAAAAACCGACGACTATGAAGGTCGTGACACCATCAAATCAACACACGCACGGATCCCAAAATAAATCGTGTCCTGTCTTGTGTTGTGTATCGTTAGCTTGAATATCGTGTGTGGCAGGAAGTTTCCGGGTGTTTCGATCCGCCGTTTGCCGTTTTCGGCTTCATACCGCGTCCACTCCTGACTGCGTCCGCTCTCGCAATCGTTCCAGTCCTGCTCCGATTGGTTGGTTTCCAACAACATTAGCGAGAGGGAAAAAATGCGGGAGAGAGCGCGGAAGAGAGGGGGGGAGAGAGAGACAGAGACAGAGACAGACAGAGACAGACAGAGACAGACAGACAGTCAGAGAGGGAGAGAGAGAGAGAGAGCAGACGCGGGAGAGGGAGAAGACGAGAGCGGGAGAAAAGACATGAGCGAGAGCTGTATGGTAAAATCGCGATTGATTCGGGAAAGAGCAGAGGGGGTCAACCCGTCAGGTGTGAAAAATCATGGGTGGACTAACGCGTTCCCCACAGCACTATTATAAATCATACCAGCACTTCAGTGCAGCCACGCAAATACACTGTTGTAAGGCGATGTCAACGTTCACCAATGAGGGTTATCCGCGAAACTTCTATTATAGTGCGATTTAGTCGATTTTTCCTGCAAGAGAGTGGTTGTCCGCAGCTTGGTTTTCGTACGTACCGGTAACCGACGTTGCTGTCGCTCAAGCAGCATTTGGATTTTCATTTTCTGAGGCCAATTTCCATTTTTTTTTTTCACTCTCCTTAAACCCATTTTTCTACCCGTAGCCATTGTGTTACTTTCTCACAACAACCATCTCTCTACTGAAGTAGTTTGTTTTACGTCCTCACCAACGTAGAGAACCGCCGCCGCATCGTCGTTAGCGGCCTCGAACACCGCGTAGCTGTCCTTCCCCCCGACGCACATCAGCACCACCCGCTTGCCCGGCTGCATGGACACGTTCTGCGGCGTGTTGTGTTGTTCGGGAGAGCACGACGGACAGACATGGGAAGAATGTGTTGTCAAGCACACTCAAAAGCCGTCGAGACTGTAGTGCGCAAAAGGTCAGTCAGGGAAGTCGCCAAGAATGACAACGGCGGCGACAGCGCAACGCACGACTTCAAAAGGGTATGCACACGGCACGTCCGTATGGCACACATCGCACCACTTCAAAAGGTTCTGCACACAGCAAGCCCATACAATCGTACATCGCACAACTCCAAAAGGTTGTATGCATGTGCGTACAGCAGAGCCCTAATACAAGTGCGTCCCCAAAAGCAACCACTACCATCGCCATCAGCAGCAGCACGAACACCCTCATCACCTCTACGTCGCTCATCGGAAGTACGTGCTGCGCCGCCCCAAGGATCTTGTGGCTGTCCCAAGTAAGGCTGTCTCCTTCTGCATTGTATCGCAGCACTCGCAAGCCCGAGCTGCCCTTGCCCGCTCGATGGTGCTTCCGGACGCGCAAGCCCGGGCCAGTCATCACCTGAAAGTCGAAAGTTGTTGAGTTCAGATTAAAAGCGAATTTGGTATCAGAGCCGAGCCGCACGAGCCTCCCACCGCTTGCGTCCATCGCCCCTTCCCCTTCTACCAAAAATCTCAAATCAACCAGTCAGGCGGGAAATTCAGTGTAAGGGTAGCACCCTCCATGTGTTACGGCCATTAACACGGCTGCAGCCATTTGCGGTAGAATACTGTATATACCCTCAACGCGAATACTGCTGCGTCGACAGCACCCACCAACCCTTGGGATAAGATCTCAATCCATCCCCGGACAAGGCCGACGAGGGAGAGAGCTGCGACGGCAGTCAACCTTGAGCCAAAAGGGGGACCCGTTGTATGGCCAGTGGGAGTCACGACTACCCCCCTTACAAAATTCGCACCTCGCCCGTAGTATGGCAAGTAGGAGTCACGTATCCCCCCCCTCCACCCCCCGACAAACTTCGCACCTCCCGGCTCCCAAAGGAAACTGGAAGTATTAAACACTCTTCTCAAACATCTAGTCTGCACCTCGAGAAACTTGGCGAGAGAGATGTGATGACAGCCGTCAGGCAGCTCAAGGGGCTCATCGTAGCCGGCGGGCGTCAAGGCCACCCCGGCGCCGCCCCCACCCATGTGGTCGAGGGCGTCGCCTCCGCTACCGCCGTCGGTTCTGACCGGAGGCATGTCTTGAGGCTGTTGTTGTCATCGTCGTTGTTGGGGCAGGAAGCGGGCGGGACCAGGTTAAACCACACCGACAGAAAGAGGCAGCACGGACGAACGGCACAAGAGAGCGTAGTTGCCAAGGGGCGGGGCGGGGCAGGGCGGGCAGGGCGGGCAGGGGGGAGAGGGGAGGGGAGGGGAGGGGGGGTTGAGAAAACGCCTCGTCTTGAAAAAAACTGCACGAGAACGCGAGAGGCCGAATCAGCCCGCACGGACATAACTCGAAACACACGCAAAAACCATCCTAGCATACCCGTTCCGGCTGAGGCCCTCACGGAAAAATCAAAACACACACACCAGCAGCAGCATTCAGCAGCACCAAGAAGCCACCACCTACCCGTTCTGGCGGAGCGATCGCTCCCATCGAGTCCGCCTGGTGGTGCTCTTGGAAATCTCGAGACGGCTGCGGGTGCAACTTCGCCAGGCGCGCGTCCCCGCCGCCGCTGCTCGCCGAGGACGACGTGTCCTCCGGCTCCTCCGCCTCCACCGACGGGTCTGGTTGCCACGCCGGTCTCGGTGCGGGGGGTACGTTCGCCCTTGGCTCCCAGATCGCTCGCGTCTGCTGCTGGTGATGGTGTGGCGCCGTGACCCTTCCTCCTCCTCCGCTGCCGCCGCTGCCGCCGCCGGGAACGCGGTGAAAAAAAGGGTCCATGGCGGCGGCACCCACGCCGCCGCTAACGCGCCCGCCGCCGCCGCCGCCGCCGCTGCCGCTGCCGCCGCTCATGCTCCTGTGGCTCACGCTCCCGGTCGCCACTGAGTCGTCCGCGGCGGGGGGCCGGTTCATGTAACCGGTGCTATCGCCCCCGCCCGACGCGCTCCCAGGGTTGTACGTCCTGTAAGCGCCGGCGTAGCCGCTGCCGCTGCCGCTGTCTCGATAATAGTCTCCTCCGCCCATCCGGGGGTACGGTGCCCCACCCCCTCCCCCCCCCCCCCGGCCTGGCCCCCCGAGGCTCGCCGCGCTCCCTTCCGGGGTCAGGTTGAGGCGGTTGAAGGTGTTGGCGCCTCTGGTGGCGTCGTGGGCCATGGCGGCCTTGATGGCCGCGTCGATGCGGGCGGCCGTGGTGCTCTCAGACGAGTCGCAGGAGCTGCCAGCCCCGCCGGCCCCCCCCGAAATGGTGGTTCGCGCGTTGAGGCGGTCGGCCTTGCTGGCCGAGAACATGGACGACCGGAACTGCTCGTGCAGCGAGCGTGATTCCTGACGGGGACAACAACGACCCGGGGGGGGCGGGGCGGGGGGAGGGGAGGGGGTTGGGATTAGGGTGATGCGACAGCCGTTATATAGGTGGAAACCCGGGACGGGGGGTGGGATTGGGCCGTGATACAGGTGGAAACGCATTCTGGAAAGAAGGGAGACTACGCTTGGCTCAGCGCCGCTTCCATCCCCTGCTGCGCGTTGTGCATGCAGGCAGTACTAACACAAAACACAACCTCCGTATCATGTGGTGACTGGCTGACGGTGTTTCGTACCCGCTGCTGTTCTTGATCATTTCTGCTATTTAGTACCGTGGTGCAGGCAGAGCCCGGTCTGCGTACTCTTTGAAAGCACTACCGTAAGAGGCAGAGAGATGGTATGTCCCCCCTAGACCGACTTTCAAACCTCGATCTCTCCACAGCCAACATTGTCTGTACCGTACCGTATACCGTACCGTGGTATTCCGTAAAAGGCAGAGAGATGACATCCCACCCAGACCGACTTTCAAACCTCGATTTCTCCACAGCCAAGGGGGGTGCGGAAAGAGCCCGATACGTGTACGGAGAGCCCTCAACGAGATGTTTCGAAAGCCAAATTTTTTGGTGTTGGCACAATCTGGGGTGTGGAGAAATCAGCCTTGAAAATCGGTGTACGGTGGGGGTGCCATCTCTCCGCCTCTTACGGTATTCGATGAGTCTCGCGGGCCAGTCGAAAGAGATAGACAAGAGAGGTCGAGAGAGAGAGGGACCGATATGGACAACCAGGGAATAGCTGCAGCAGCAGGTGCTTCGTCCAACGCAGTTCTTTCTGACCGCAAGACTCGCGCTGTATGTTCTGACGGCACCTTTCCTCCACGTACGGGGGTGTTGGTCTACAGCTAGCGGAGGGGCGCGCGGGAAACACGCGTTATCGCTTCCCAAAATTCTCTCGCCATGCACACACACACACACACACACACACACACACACACACACACGTATCGTATCAGCACCAGCACCACCCGGGGGCGGCGGGAGAGCGGGGGTGCTAAGTGCCAATTCTCCGACACAGCGAAGAAGGTTCATCATCCAAAACACCCGTGTTCTCTGTAAAGACTTAATTTAACCCATCCCTTCCGGCTGCGGCTACTTACATCTAGAACGGGTAGCCTTTTCTCTTGTTTGCGTGTAGTTTTCCTAAACAAACAATACCAGGTACTGACGGTGGGGGGTGTCGTTGATTCGGAATACGGAGGGCGAAACCGAATTTACTCTGTCGCAAGGAAGAATCATCGCGGTTTGCGCGAAGCCGAAATACTGTCACACTTGGCTGCAGGAATCCAACCCAAGGCCTTCAACAACAGCACCCACGCATAGGTTGACGACCCCTGCATCGACATATGCATATGCATACACGTTGTACTGTACATGAAAGTCTACAACCTGAGAAGAAAAAAAAAACGTGAAGAAGAGGCGACGTTCCGAGGCGGCCAAAAGCTTCTGCGAAACACGGAGTACTTGCGTTGCATCACAAGGAAATACTCCGCTTCTTTGGGCCATTATACGCACATGCGCATATGTACAACGTGAAGGAAGCAGGTTTTGACGGTGATGCTTGTACAACACGACCACCACGCGGGGCTTGTTTTTTGTCACAGATTATTGTCACAGACGGGAATACCCCGCTTTCTGCGAGCACGTTTGTTTGGCGGCGGGGCAAGCATCCGTGATGCGCCGAGATACATACCACGCGTGTGTGCTTGAGCTATTTTCATCGACCGTGCTATCCATCTGACAGCTGAAATACACCTTGTGTTTAATTGGGTCGGTCGGTCGGGCGGGCGGTCAATCGGGCGGCCTTAGGCCGCCTTCGTCGATCGCGCCGCCGTCGCTCCGTCGATCGTCGCCGTCGATCGCCCTTGTGTTTAATAGAAGTATTAAATAGCAGGATCAAAAGCGCCAACCAGCACGTCTTCCAAAGCATACTTGTTATCGTATGGTTCATTGGTCACTCGGTTTATCTCCCCAACCGAAGTCACAAGTTAGTTTCCTTGCTGCCACACCTCTCTCCCTCTCTCTGCCGACAGCAGGCGTTCGACCACACACAGCAGTGTTTCAAGCAAAAGGCGAAAAGCTTGAAATGCGGTGCCGGTGTGTGGCCCGCCCCGATTCGCACGGCACACGTTGTGAACACGAGTATTGAACGCATAACGTATGAAGGTTCTTCCGAGTTGAAGGTTATTATGCCTCTCGGCGCCGTTGGTTGTTGCGGTTCGAAAATGAAAGGGTGAGTGGAAGTTGCACCTGGTTTTCAAGCCTCAAACGCTGAATAGAAGGACCTATTTTCAGTGCTGAAAAGACTTCTTTCAGCACATCCCTTTGGCTGCTGTTGTGGTATTCCCTTTGACTGCTGTTGTGGTATTAGTCTATACTCCGTATCTCGAAAGGGTGTTGTAGTCTTTCTGTGAGGGTATGTATGTTCTCAACGAAACACACACAAGTACGTTGCAGGCAGGCCGCTGTGTCGAACGGGTCGGCCGCCAGTGTGCACACGGTTGGAGAAGTTCAGACGCACAAATCATTTGAAAAATGGGGGCGTGGTGGGCGGGTGAGTGGGAAGAGCACGTCCAGGCCAAAGCAGCGGCAGCGCGTGAGCGCAACAACATGCTGCAGGTACAGCAGAAGTATGTAGTGCATGTGGGTACACACGCATGGAACCAAAAAAACAACCAGCGAGCGCGCTAGCCGAAGGGATGAGAGCAGCATCTGCAAGGTGCCACAACAACGACCACTGAGCAGGTCAAAGAAGATCCGTCAACAGGTTTCTACGATACTTATCCTAAGCACAGATGGGGGCTCAAAAGACTACATACATGCATGGGCAGCATATTTGTGTGTTCAGTCTGTGTGTTTTTGTGTATACACCCGTCCGATTCGCCACGAACAAGGCTTTTTATTGAGGAGCGTCCGCGCGGCGCAAGTGGCATGCATCACACGTGCGTGCAGGGAAAAGAGCAAAAAAAGCTGGCGTGCGTTTGGGTTCTTGTCTACAACACGGCCAGCAGCGGCCGATTCGCTTAGACTACACGCCAACAACGCCACACCCATTCCTTGTCTGGCAAAAATAGATCGCAGCAGCACCAGCAGCACCAGCAGCACCAGCATACTTTGATTCGGCGGACCGCCGCCGAAGCAGATCTCAAAGCCGAAGCAGACACATCGCGCACAGCGGCTGCGGCTGCAACAAGGGGTGGCTTAAAATACAATGCGACTCTAGGTATGCGGGTGTGCTGCTGCTGCTGCTGTTGCCGCAGCAGATGGAATTGAATTCCGTAGGAAAAAGGGGGCTGCTGAGTAGCGTCGGAACGATTGACTCCAAAAAAGCGGTGCTGCTGCTGACAAAGAGAGCTGCCGGATACAAGAGGAGATGAGGACACACTCGGAATAACAACTAGGGCCTCCGGCTACACCCAGCAGCAGGCAGCGATCCAACACGCTCCCAACAACGAACACAGAAAAGGCGGCACGTTTGTCTCTGCCCCTCCCTCCTCTCACCTCCAGGTCGTCGTGCTGCGACGCTCGCCGTGTGTAGGCCTTCTGCCGCAGCTCGGACGACATCTTTTACCCCTTAAAAGGACCAAGCAGCAGCAGGTGTGTCACCCAGTAACCAAATATCGCTCCTACGTTCGTTCCGTCCTCTAGTAGAAAGACGGTGGTTTTGGTCCGCCCGTCACCCAATCAGAGCCCCCCCCCCAGCTTGCTGTCGCTGCTCTTCTTTTAAATCTTATAATGTCAGCAAGAGGACCAGCGTGCTCTCTCACGCCACAACAAGCTGTATGTTGCTGCCTCCTGCCTCGCACCTCATTCTTCTTCGCCAAATAATTTGCCGGGTGCTCCGTGGATGTGGAAAGGGCCTAGGTACCACCCCTTTGTTCACGGGAACCGTTCCGGATACTCTTCATGGGAAATTTCCTAGGGCTGATGATGAGACGAAATTTTTCATCCTGTACTTGTAGGCGCTTTTTGTGGTAGGTGCATAGTCTACTGCTCTACAGGAAGCGCGCACCCCTGCTGTCTGCTTTTGACCCGCAAAACCTGCCGCCAAACACACACACACTCCAAAGAGTCATCTGCAAGATAGCAGTTTGTTGGCACTTTGGCACCCCGCCATCGTGCGAGGAAGGCTGCAAAGTCCGGGCCATTCCCAACACTTGGGAAAAGCCATTATTATCGAACATTGCACTTTTTGCGAAGGCGCACGGGTTTGTGCGGAGATTGACTGTGAAAGAACCGTGTAGTCTTTGAATTCCTGCGAAAAGGAACGGATGCAGTAATCACAGACTTACCGTGCACAGCTGTTCAGGGTCCAATAGAGCGTGAAACGAGAGACGTGTGGTGTGTGGTGTTCGTCAATAATACAAAATTACCTCAGCCTCAAAATATTTGTTCTGACACACGCGGGGCTGAATCTTGCATCGCCCTGGTGCCCTGTTCCCGCATTTCCCCGCAAGCAAAAAAAAAACATCCCTATGTTGTGGGTTTGCAGCCTTGCTTCCTCGTTTATTGCAGCAGCTGGTTTGTGTCCAAATACCCATTGATACCGAGGTTCAGCAGTAAAAAAGAAAGAAATCTGTTTGCCTGATTGGAAATACTTCATTAACACTTCCAGCAGCTGTCCGTGTCCCGCGATAAGGCGCTTCCGTGGGTAAACAAACGGCATCATCGGGATCTCCACGAGTATATGTAAGTAGGCGTTAACTTCTGTGCACCGCACGATGTGCGTGTGATGAAACTCTCTCGTTGTCTGAACGGTCGTGCCTGCTACAGAAGCCAGTTGTAGAGGGGGTCTGAGAGGAGGGGAAAAGGAAACGACAAATATATCGGGCATATCATAATCAGTAACCAATGGTTGTCCTCGGGCGAAAGAACCAAAACCAGAACAGAACCCACTTTGCTCATCGTGCCCCCCAACCACGCCGGCTATACTGCTGCGCTGATCATTTGGCACACCCGCGGGTCTGCAGCATCATCGAACAAAACCTTGTCCGTGTTAGCATTCTAGTCTATCATTAGTTCTACCAGGAGCTTGACTCTCCTACATACCCTCAATGAGGGGGAGGAATTCAGGCGGTTTTCCGATATTGGAGACGCTTCATCCTTCACTGCCATTGCCCGATAGTCGTTGAACGTTGAACGAAGTAGATGCCGTCCCTGTGGGTGTCCGCTGAGTCAATAGTCATCCGGAGAGTTGTCAATATACAGCTGCTTACTTTCTAAGGAGCGCCCAGGAGGCCACAAAATCGTAGAGAGCCAACAACAAAAAACAAAACAAAAAAGAGGTCTGCACGCATTCACTGGTGACAGACACCAACGTTTACCCCGCTCTCTTCTTCAACCATTCCTTGGCAAGACACAGCAGAGTTTCACCCTCAATTCTGACCCGAATTCCGGTCCCGTGTCATTCATTCCATTCTGACAAACCGCGCGATGTCGGGGATACCTCCTTGATCGTACCTCTGCCACCACCACGAACAAGCCGCAAACACGCGCGGGCAAGAGACGACCGACACCAATCAACGAGGGCAGACGGGCAGGCCCAAAGAAAACCAAGAGCAGCAGCACAACAAACCACACAAAAAAACGCAAAACGAGATGCACACAACAGTAGAAAACCAGCACAGCACACACAGCCAAGTAGACACGGGGGAGGAACATCGAGTAGAGAGCGGGATGAACGGCACGCGAGAGAGAAAGGGGTGGGCAGAGAACGCAGCACAGTAGGGAGGAACACACACGGAACAGGCGGCGAGACGGTGTTAGGGGGCGAGGACATCACCGCACGAGACAAACCTGGGGGCGCAGATATCGGGAATTGATGCGAGAGCCAAGGCGGGAGGGAACGGCTGACCGACCAACAGCCAACAGAGCGTGGACGTCAAAGTGATATGGTGGGGGTGCCGCACTTGCGAGCACGGGGGGTGGGTGGGTGTACTCGTAGCCGTGCATGCCGTAGTCGTTAGACCATTGACCTCGGGGGAGGGGGGGGGCGCTTTAATTTATGTCCGGCTTTATTCATGGATGTTACAACATGTCTTGTCGAGGCCATGGGACAGAAAAGACGATATGATCACAGCATACGACACCAAGCTAGGACGCGTTAGCTTAGACGTAGATTGCCAAGTCGAGATTCGCCCAAGGCCGTCCTGGTCATGGTGCCTCCCCCGACCGGCTCGGATACTCACCTACCTCGCGCAAAAACAAAATCAGCAAAACGGTCTACCCGAGACACAACCCACCTACTTCCTGATTGTTCCTTACTCGATGAAGTAACGTGGAGAAGGATCCAGCCGACGAAAAACATTCGCACACAACCAAAACCGAAATGAACAAAAATACTCCGGTAAACGGGAAATCAAGGCGAACGCATTTCTCGATACGAAACCCCACACCCCTTTCGACTGTGGTATTTTCTCGAACGGGTAGTCATTCTGTGAGATTACGTACACGTTCTAGAACCCCCCCCGGCGCGCAACGCACCTCGGCGAGCTCCTCGCGGACCCCGTCCCAGTCCTTGTGTCCGAAGGCCACCGCGTCCATGAGATGAGCGGCCCGGTCAAGCGCCACCTTGGAAGACGCACAGCGCGAAAACAAAAAACAAAAACGGAATGCTTGCATGACCGCACGCATACGCCAATCAGTACTGGGAGTTGAACGTGATCGTGAACAGCACTGGACAAATGAAGCAGCAACAGCGATAACAACAACGACAACAACAACAACACAGACACGCCTGCATCGGAGATCACCTGCATCGGAGATTTCCCTTCGTTGATCTTGTCTGGCTGCTCGTCCGCCGCCATCCCCTCGTACATCGTCAGGACGCTCGCCATGTCCTCATACCTTGGATTCGATTGCACCACATCGCAATCAATTGGGGGGATGGGGGGGAGACACTGTTTTACATCAAATCCCAAGGGATTCTAGGTGTGTTGATTTGCCGTCGGTCATTCTACCACTCGTCCCGCGTCTCTTTTCGAGATGACGGTACGTCAAACCGAGAAGGGCCCCTGCCATGGTTATTCTGTACTGCCTTGTACGCCTCGTGTCCAAATATCCAAAGTGGAAGATGTCGGCTGTCCTTCCTAGTCAACGATGACAGCCGTAGGGGATTCAGAATATAACAAGATATCCGCCACAAATACTTCGAACAACAAACAGGATCAACAAGACAGAAAGAACAGATCAGAGCGAAAGTGAATCGACACCACGCGGTGTCGGAGATCCTACGCCCACAAAGAGCTATCGCACTATTTATGAACGGCGGTGTGCCACAACACCTCAATCACAATCACCTGACTCGACTCACTTGGTTCGCTCAGTCCACTCCCCTGTATGACTCAATCACCTGACTCAACACAGTTGGTTCGCTCAGTCCACTCCCCTATACAATATGTAGACTCACGCACTTGACTCAGCCCGCTTGGTTCACTCACCCCGCGATCTTGACCACCTCCTCCAAGTCCTTGCTGTTGGGGGAAATGGTCCAGCAGGGGCACCGCAGAGACACCTTCGCCGCGTCCTTGGCCTCCATTTCTCTGAAAGGAGAAAAAAAGCAGACACACACGCAAGCACACAAGCAAACGCATTAATCCCAAACGCGGAAAGAAAACAAAAAACAACGGTAGGTTCATCTAGACGAGAGAGGGGAAACGAGCGGGGCAGAGGATTGTTTTCTTGAACGACACACGCACACACGAAACAAACATTAAAAATAAAACACGCGCAAACAACACGAGAGGAACCAAACTGGCAGAATGCATGGGTGGTGGGATGGTGGGTGGGTGGGGGGAGAGAAGGTCAATTTCTCAGCACACGCTCCTCGACTTGTGCCGCGGCATCTCCCACCACCTCCATTCTCTTTCTTCTCCTACACCACTTCCGAAAAATACGAAAAGCAACCTAGAACCACGACAGCGGTTCGGCCACAATCACAAACGGAGAGATCTTCGACATCATGTTTTTGCCCGAACCCAAAAGCAACAGCAGCAACCACATGACCATCATCAACAACAGCAGCAGCAGCAGCAACAACAACAGCAACAACACTACTACCAACAAACAGCACCAGCAACAGCAGCAGCCACAGCAGCGGCAGCACAAAACGACGACGAAGACGCCGCCGCTTGTACGAAGGGAAATGTATTGTGTGGAATCTCGGCGTTGATAGAACGCTTAAAATGCACAAGCGCGCTGTCAAGCCCACGTCCCTCCAGCTCGCAATGTGGATGAGCACCACCATGGCAAGGGCTTCAACGAGGCAATCAACAGGATCGTGTGGCTACCCCACCTTGAGACTCTGGGAAACAGCCCCAACTACAAACAAGCTTCGCCGCACACACACATCACGCACCTTCTGTCCATCTTGGCAAGCACCCTGGCGTAGTGACCGTACGGCCGCCCCCAGCCCACGAAGATCTCGTTGGCCTTCTCCGCGGAAGCCAAGGCCGCCGTGGAGTCTCCCTTCTCTAGGTGGGACGCCGTGAGCCACTCGTACACGTCGGCGAAGGCCCCGACCCGGAGAGCGAGGTACCTTCAGTTGTGGTGGTTGTTGTTGTTGGTGCTAGTAGTGATAGTTGTTGTTGTTGTTGTTTTTGGTGTTTGTTGTTGTTGTACTTGTTGCGGCGGCGGTGATGGTGGTGTAGTGGTTGTTGTCGTCGTTGCTGCTAACGTCGTTGCTGCTGTTGTCATTGGCACTGGTATTGTTTCCGCATGTTGTTGGTGTTGTGTCGATATTGTGGTTAAGTGGTTGCAGGGCGTGTGTACACAAACTGCGTTCCTGGTGGAGCGATGTGACACCCAAACCAACACCGCGCGCTCTCAGCCCCTTCCTTCCCCGATCCCAAACGCCGAACCACACAAAACGAAACATTCACACCACCAGCCAGGTCAATGACTGCGGTCGACCAAGGCTCCCGAGAGTACCCGCACTCACTTCTCCACTCCTACGCCAAGGTTTTCCACAGCACCCTTCTCGTACAGGGGATCCGCTTCTGGCAGCCCCTCATTGCCCAACCGGATGAGCTCCTGCCAAGAAAAAGCAAAAATTCAAACAGAGAAAAAAGAAAAAAGCGCGCGAAATAGTCGACAAACGCTCGAAAATGCGCGCGCGCGAAGGCTGCGGTGGGAAAAACAACCATTGCAGATGTGGATACCATATGCATTGATCTCAAGTTGCGACGTCAGCGCAAGTGCCCTGGACGTCAGGTTCACAAATTTTCGGGAGTGAACGTCCATGCGCACCGCCGCCAGCCCGGTGGCATGCACTGCCTCTTCCCACTCCACACAGCGCGTAAAACAAGCCACGACAAATTAAATAAAAACGGCGACTTCTTGGGCAGAACGCGTCCAGTCACCGCTCGCTCGCTCTCACCTCGCTGTCGGCCGACCCCGCGAAGTCCTCCTCGGCTACCACCCTCCTAATGAAGTGCTCGGCGTTGTCCGCCAACAGCTCCAGCCCAGTCTCCCCGTTTCTCACGACCGGCATCTCTAGCGTCTGCGCCGAAGCCACAGCATGTGGCCACACGGGGAGGTGTGAATGTTGGCGTGGCGCATGTCAAGGGCGCGAGTGGGCACCGTGAGCGATCGGCAGGAGGGGTGGTAGCAAAAGAAGAAGTTGGAAACAACAAGACCAAGGCAGGGTACAACAACAACATGTGTCTGTTGCTGTGTTGTCGTATTTTTCACATTGTAGAAGCCGTTCTGATCTTTGCTCAGTGCCTTCTTGAAGCGTCCGCAAAATTAGTCGCGCTGAACGTGGAGCCTTCTTCCTTTGTCGCAAGACAAGAAAAGCATGCGTCAGAGCAAAGCGTACAGGCAGGCACTCATGGACAGACGTAAGTCAACACGCACACGCCTCCATGGGGCTACTGACAAGGTTCAACATCCCACTCCCCGCGGGTGAGCAGCGGAAGCCGCTGCCTCCGCTACGCTTGGCATCCGTCCATCCACAAAAAAGAAGAACGAAAAACTAAGAACGGAAAAAGAAGAACGAAAGGAAACAAGAAGGAGGAGTCGCTTCACTTCGTGTTCGCCGGTGGAAGCGCCTGAGCTAATCTGATGCCACAACTTTGTTTTTCTGTGTTGCTGTCAGCTCGTGCGCATGAACCACGCTGCAGGCCGAAACAATCAACTTTCGCGTCGTGAGTTATCCGACGGAAAATCATTGTCCCGCTGCGGGCAAAACTTGGAGGGGGTACTGGAGGACACATCGCTGACATACGGATTTTATTGATTATTGGTCCCGGCCTCGTCACCGGAGACGTATCTTCGAAGGCGTGAACCCCACCAAGAATCAGAAATCGGGGCCGTGTTTTCCCGAATGTGTGGGGGAAGTGGGCAGCGTATCTTGTGTAGGTTTTGCGAACTGCAAAGGCCTCGAACTAGATATCGCGCTGCGATTGGATAGGATTCGAAATCCACATGCTCACATTTTGGAGTTCAATTATCAATGGCATGCCCCATATGCGCTACTCCATCGCCAAGCAGGTATTTAGTTCAACAACAGAAAGGAGAGAAATCCACGTGGTGCTGCAGCTGCCGACACGGCCGAGCAGCCACACCCCATCGATGCGCTTTACTCAAATCACAATCCCAGGGACCATGGTCTGAAGTTTGCGATTCCACCGGCTCCCCTCCCTCAGGCCGAGTCTTCAGCTGTGAATTTTGTTTTTGGGGGGGGATCCTTTTCTTAGCCCAAACTATTATTTGGGCGTCTTTCGCAGAGGAAAATGGCCAATGCCATACGCCCAAATTCCCAATTGCCGAATATTTCCTAGGATTCCAGCTGGCGAGATAGAAAATGGGCCGATTTTGTAAACTGGATCGGCTGATATTTTCGAGTTTGGAAATGGGGGGGGTACTGGAGGACACACCCCGATCGTGCCAGAACGAGGAACTACACCGTCTGCTGGCCAAACAGAGGCCAGTATCTTGAGGTCATGCACAAAACTCTCTGCAGGTATCTAAAATTCAGGGCGTTCTGCGTCGTGTTGGCCGCACACGAGCCGACCCACGCCAACCCTGCCACATTGCTCCGCTGGCGTTCTTGCCTTTGGGCCGAAAAGGGCCGTTTTTGTGCCTGCTGCATGTGTGACCAGTCGATGACACACGCCAGAGAGAGGTTTTACGCCGTCGACATCCGCAAACTGCAGCCAATGGTGTGTGATCATACACATACCCTCTGCTCGCGTCACAGAAACAGAGCGTATTGTCCAGTTTTGATTGCACACGGCCTGTAAACGTGAACCGAAAGTGTGTTGCGGTGTTGCCTTTTTTGGACGTTGCCTTTTTTTTTTGGCTGCTCCGAGTGTGATCAGTCCACAACGCATGCCAGAGAGAGACATTTGGCCGGCGACATCCACAAACTGCAGCCACTGGCGAGCCATTACCCACATGCCCTCTGCGGGCGACCCCAAAACAGGGCGCTTGGTGTCTTGTTGGTCGCACACGAGCCAAAACCGTGAACTGAAGCATGTTGTGACCCACAAAAGACTTGGATCGGCCCTTTTTTCTCCTGAGAAAAAAATGTACCTCGAGGAACCGTAAGAAGGCCGCTTGCAGCTGGATAATTTTTCCCGTGCAGACCACCCCCCCCCCGACCGAGAGCAAAAAACAACTCCGAAATAATCAGAGCTTAATATTCGGCCTCATCCAAAAACCCGCACATTGAAAACTTCCCCGGATGATAGGGACATTTTTTTGCCATGCTACTTTCCGCAGCTGAAGCACACGGCGTGTTGCTGTGAACGACCATCGCGCGATTCCATGTGCGAAGCCCACCATCACGCAGCGTAGACGTACTCGATCTAGACTATTTACCATGGTACTTCTCTACGCCCGTGCCGCTACTCAAGGAATCAACAGAAGTGCGAGATAGTTCGCCATATTTTCTTACCTCCGGCGATGTAGGCCATCGCAGCAGTCCCGTCACAACCCCGTCATCCCCCTGGGAAAAAACAAAACACCGAGCCAAACGACGCAGGCCAACCGCGCCGGCCCGGCAGGCAGCGCACATCAGAACGGGTACAATAGTGTTGAGAGGTTTACTCGCGTAGCAATCCCCCAAAAAAAACTTGGTGATGAATCACTTCTTATTACTACTCTCTTGCACAGCAGTTCCGTGCTTTCTTTGTTACATGTATAGACTGAACAAAAGGGGGTGGGGGGCTCCTTGCATGGAGGGGTGTCATGGCAACGACATCTTGATGGTACTTCTATCTTGATGGTACTTCTATCTGACAAATAGGGAGTTTCAGCTCCCGCAACAACCTGAGTATAATTCCTAGAACTGCCGTTCAAATCCTCGTACTCATTTCCCATAACATTAGCCCACCCTCGAGGCTCGTACATGAAGATACGAAGCCAACTAGATATGGTACAGAATTCCGAAATTAATCGAAAAGATGCGAAACCCCACAACCCAACAAAAATTCACCATCCCACACCGGATGGACAAAGCCCACAGGTGCCACGCTGTGCCGCTTGTGACCTTCCCTTGCACTCCGCCAGTCATCGGGGGCCAAGCCGTCGCTCACGAGCAGTGCCGTCAAGCCCGCACGGCACGTCCCGTAGCCTTCGCTTCCACTGCTGCGCCCACAGCACTCACCATGCCAACAGCACGGCACGGCAGTGGAAACAAGGACTACGGCACCTAACGTGCGGGCTTGGCGGAGATTATCGTGATCGACGGCTTGACCACGATGGCTCCTGGAGTTGCAAGGGAAGGTCACGAGCGGTAGCTTGGCCCCGCCTTCTCTTGGTACTGAAGGGAGGGATGACGGGGACACAAAAAATCGGTATATTCCGTGGTTCTTCATGTGATTTCAAGGCGGCAATCTAGCAGAACGCACAGTAACAGAAACGTACGAGGCGTAGCACACTACCAGAGGTGGGTGTGACATTGGGAGAGGATGTGTGCTCAACGGCAGCGGGGAGGGCAAAAGCGCTAACAAGGTCTACCCAATTCTTCAAAACACCCAGCATCATCATGGATTCGAGAAACCAATCTCGGTGTTTGTTTTCTGCTCTCACCTCAAAAAGGTCTATACGACACATTTGTTCGAAAGACCCCCGGCATAATCGCGTATTCCAACAACCAACGTTCTGTTATGATGCTCCCACCTTAACAAGGGCTACACAATCGTTCCAAAGATCCGGCAAGATCACGAATTCGACTCGCCAAACCTCCGTGTTATACTGAGAAAATATACTTCTACGTACACAACCACAGAGAGACTACCCGTGCTCTCTGGAGTTAACCGCAGCGTAGCCGAAGGGGACGTGTTGATGTTTTTTATTCTGTTCTCACCTTGACGAGGGGGACGAGGAAAGGGTTCAGCCCCGCGCGGTCCGCGGGGTCTACCGGGGTGAGACCCTTGTGCTGCAGGAACCGCAGGAGGGTCGGCAAACGCCTCGGGGGGTTCGGGAACTTCGCCTGAGTCGGAATCGAATCCAGAAAGTTGTTTTGAGGGGAGGGAGGGGCGAGAGGGGTGAAAAAATGGAAAATATCAAGGGTGTTTGGTGGATCGGGGCTGGATACATGTAAACACGCTTCTTCTCGTCCATCGGACCGCAAAAAACGCCAAGCAATACTTCGTGACACCGTTCTCTGACAAAACGTCCGTCGACCGCGCTAACCGGCCGACCCATGAAGAGACGTCAGTGTTCGCGCGTGCGTGTGTGTGTCCTTTTGGTAACCATCTACCCACCCACGCTAGCCGGCTGATCGACCAAAAACTACCTCAGTTGCCAGTCCAGGAAAACAACGAGGACAAATTCACTTATTGTCAGCTGCTCAATGTAGCACCCGCACCTGCGTTTAGGACCTCTATTTAGTTTGAAGCCGACGCACAGAGAGCGCGCGCGCACTAAAAGAAGTTATGTTTTTGCCAAGGCTGGGGTTCTTGTAGTTCCTCTTGTAGGCTACAAATGCCCGCCTAAACATGTTTGTGTTTCGATTAACGGTGGGCATGAAGTTCTTAACGTGGTCCGGAAAAAGTATGGACGACTGCCGGTCAGGCCTCAGAAGCGGGAGAAGTTGTCTATTGCCTACTGCTCTGCCACAAGTGTTGGTACGTGTTTCAGTCATGTGGTAGGACGAAGCGGATTCGCTACTGGCACGACAGGACCTACTGTATAACGTGCATACGCCGTCTTTCGTTTGTCATCACACATGACACGCATGTTGCCAACGAACAGAAGTCCTCCGCGCGTTCAAGACTGGTGCAACTTTCATGTCAGTTTTCATGCACGCAGCAGTCAGTCTGTCTGCACCGAGAGACATACTTTTCCAAAAAAAACACAAGTGTTTTGTTACACAAGGGCCGGGGAGGTGGAGAACAATGATGCTGCTACGGCGCTGGGGCAAGATCTCCCATGTGTGCCTTGCTTGACTCTGATGTTGCGTACGTGATGCTCTCTTCCGCCGCCTTTGCCGTGCACTCTGTGTACAGCAATTTTCGCAGCACTCATCATCATGAGAAAATGTACTTAGATAGCATCTGCCCTTCGTTGCGTCAGCACTCCCTCGTGAGTGTGTCCTGCATCCGTCATCCGTCATACCTTGTCCTTGATGAAGTTGGTGTACCGGGCCGCGTCTACTCCAGCATCAACCGACATCGACATGGTGCGCTTGTTGGCAGCAGCGTACGTCGGAGACGACGACCTCGTCACCATCATCCTCAAGAAGCCGCCGCCGCTCCTGGCAGTCAGGGTCATGCTCTCCACCGTCGCCGCTCCGACCACCACGCCCAGCAAACTCGTCCTTAGGCCCCTGCTACACATCTTCTCCCTTGAGCTGTCTTGCTCCAGGGGAGCGGCTGCTGGTTTGTCAGCTTGCGTGGGCGGTGTGCTTTTGCTGTGTGGCGGGACTGTACGGGAGGTGGGGGCTCCGTGGGATCGAAACATTTTCACCGAACATGCAGAGGACACATTTAGCCAGCAGCACGACAGCACACCTAGTGCACGCACCTCTGCTGAAAGTGAAGGGGTTGCTGCAGTCCACGTGGAGCTGAGAGAAGAGAGTTACAGCACAGCGCTGCCTTTTTCCGAACGAACGGAAGCTGGAAGCGAGAAGGATATAGACAACGGGAACCAAAACACAGCCCAAGGGTGTCGGAGTCAGTTGTTTGCTGTGCAAGAACGGCGGGAATCATGAACGAGGACGGGCTCGAGGGCAGCCTCCGCGAAGCAGCCGCTCGGTGTGGCAACGCGAGGAAGAAGAAGGTGCACGTGGGCGCAGCGATCATGCCGGATTATCTGAACCAGCACTACGATCCCTACAGCGCCGTGCTCAATAGAGGTAATTTTTGGAATGGTGTACTTGTAGAATATCACGAGTTCATTAACCTTGCGGTCTTGTTGGCTGATTGAAGTTTGCCGGTTTAGCGTCTGCGGGCCTTCTCCTTTAGCTCTCCCGAACCTTCCAAGCGCCTTTACCTACTGGCTTGTTGCGCGTGATGCAACCAGGAAACGGGGGGATGAATCATCCAAGACGAGCGCGTTATTTGTTTTTGTTCCGACAATCATGGGGAAGGAGTTTCGTGGCGACCAAGGCGGCATGTTTCTCCGCGCTGGGTGAAGATTGCTCACGCGCCTCTTCTTCTTCTCTCTCTCTTTCTCCCTTACACACACACACACACACAACCGACAACCAGTTTCAGACGCGAAAAAAAGAAAGACACAACGAATAATAGTGGGAGGAGAGGCGGGGCGAGACCGCTGGCTCCTACGTGATCGATTTCTTCATTCTGCTGGAAGCGGTAGCATGATGGCGCTTGGTATGTAGCGGGTGATCGCCGTGTCGATCTCCTTATCACGATGTTCGTGCTGGCCATGCTGAGGCGCGTCGTCATGGACCGCCGTAAAACTCGACCGTGTCTTCCGTGCATGGTGCCCCCCTGGCGGACTACCTTCGCGAGGATTCCATTATCAATCTACTATCTATGAATAAAGAAGAGGGTTTCGCGCGTCCATATCTCTAACCCTACAGGTAACCCCCCAACCCCACCCCGCACACCCTACAAGAAACCAAGCTTACCGTCGCGAAGGCTAGTGCTGTTGGCTGTTGGCCCCTATAGGGGTATCTGTTCGTTTCCGGGTTGGGGCGGGTGGGGGGGGGGGGGATATCTCTACCTAGCCGGGTGGTGATATCGTCGTTGTCGCGTCGTCGTCGGTCGAGTTCTTCGGCGGCGTGCTGGCAATGGCGCTAGGACGATAAGAGGGCTAAGAGGGCAAGCCTGACGAAGCCACCGGAGCGGGAGCGGGAGCGGAAATCAGTAGCAAATGTTAGCAACAGCACGGGCGCGGCTGGCAGAAGACATGCTTCGAGACGAAGGCCACCATCCCCTGTAGTCTGCTTGAGGAAGCTGAAAAAGCGCCGTTGAGATGGTGGGGTACAGAGCACGCAGCTCGCCGACAGACGATGGTCCTCTTTTCGGTACATACGTGCAACAGCCCCACGTAGTGGTGCTGCTGCCTCCTGTCGTGTCGTTTCTACAGCAACATCGGCCGCCATTTCACCTAGCCTTCCTGAATCTGGAATCTACTTCCGAATCTGCCGGAGCGGCAAACCGCGACAGCAAATCCGAGAATATGACATTTCCGGTGATAGCAAGGCCTTTTGCCGCCGCCCCCCCCCGATCCGATCCCTGTAGTGAACTGAAAAGGCGGGAAGATATATCGATAGAGAACAACCTTAAGCAAAGTAGGAAGGAACGATTGGCCATCGGTGATCGGTCCTGTGGGAACAATGCTCCGTCCTCTCGACGGTGTGCGTGGTCAATGGTCTAACCGCTAAGGCATGCTAAACACAAGAGTACGCTCCCCCGATCCCTTCCCGTTCCTCTCCGCCTGTCCTTCTTCGTACACCTCAACCTGCGTCTGTGACTCCGTCTCTTCCCGAAAAATGCTCTGCTGGCAGAGTTCAACAGCGTCGTCATCGAGCACCACATGAAGTGGAAGCCTTTGCTCGTCGGCGGTGATGAGGTACAGCATGTCATGTCGCACGTCGTTCCGGTCTTGATGACGTCACACGCTCGATGCCATCAATATAGCCATGGTAGATGGGGTGGATGGCAGTGGTCTGTCCGTACCTCCGCAGCAACCCAGAAAACAATTTTGCACGTCACTGTTTTCTTGTAATGTCTACATTGTGTGCTTCTTCCACGTTTTTTTTCGGAATGCACGAAGAATAGCGTGGACGGCAAGGGTCAATCCGCCAGTACCCAAGAGTGAATTTTGCGTGCACCTTTCGCTTCGAAATATCTGAATTGTGCCACGTCTTGCAGGGAGTGTACGACTTCCGTCCTTGCGACAAGATCGTGGACTGGGCGATCGACAAGGGCATGGAGGTCAAGGGGCACACCCTCTGCTGGCACGTCACGACCCCCGACTTCGCCGAGGACATGTCCGCCTCTCGCCTCCGAGAGGCCCTCTACCGGTACGCCTACAAGGGACTGCTGATGTTACACATCGCTTCCACTCATTCGTATTGTCGCCGTTCGGGTTTGGTTTTGTTGCCTAGAGAAATGTTTCCGACACCGCCGGGGGCGGTGTGGTCCCACGTACGTTGTGTTTTTTGTCTTGTGCCGTCGAAAAAATGCACCCATCCGTCGATGTGCGGTACCTACGCCCGCACGCGCAACGACGAAAATCCTCTGCGGCGGGGAGGTTGTGGTCTAGACTCCTGGACCCTACGACCGCCAGTCCGAAAGCTTCGAAACTATCAGTTCTCATTTGAAAGCAACACTCAAAGCGACAAACATGGTTCTCAATGACAAAACACACTTTTGAAAGCGAAAAGCATGGTTCTCAATGAACAAAACAAATTTTGGAAAAATATGGTAGCTTTCCATGATAAAAGCAGACTTTCGATTACCGAAAACACCATCGGCAGGCACATCCGCACGACGATGGGGCACTTCTACGGGAGGGTGAGCTCCTGGGACGTGGTGAACGAGGCCCTGTGCCAGGACTGCAGCGGGAGGATGGAGGACAACGTCTTCCTCAGGAAGCTGGGGCCGGGCTACGTCGACGACTGCTTCAGGGTGGCGCACCAGGTTGAGTTACTGTAGTCAGTCCGCGCTATTTAGGATGACGACGTCACAAGTTAAGATGTGGGTTGTGTTTCTCGCGCTAGGATGATGACGTCACGAGTTTAAAAGTGGTTGTTCTCGCGCTGGGATGATGACAACACGAGTAAAAATGTGTAGTTGTTCTCGCGCTAGGATGACGTCACGAAACAAGTGGGAATGGTCTCGCGCAATCTAGTTAGGATGACGTCACGAAAAACGTTGTGGCTGTCCTCGCGCTAAGGATGATGACGTCATTACGAATAAAATTGCGGTTGTTCTCGCGCTACAAAGGATGACGTCGCGCGAAACATTAACATTGTGGATGTTCTCGCGCTACAAGTATGACGTCACCACAAACGTTGGGGTTTGTTCTCGCTCGAGGATGATGCCATCACGAAAAATCGCGTGCCTGTTCTCGTTCATTGGAAGAGGAATCTGCCGGAAGCTTCTCGCCGTGTGAAAATGCTCGACTTAGTGCAAGGTGTGGGGGGCGACAATTCCTCCGCAACAAGTACGTGGCCCACAGCATTGTCGGAAAAGAGCCGACGCAGGGAGAGTTTAGGTCACCGCACGTGTTTTTGGCGAAACACTCCTTTGGCCTCTCGCTAAGCCCAAGCTGGTGTTATTTCTACGCACAGATCGACCCGAACGCAAAGCTGATCTACAACGACAACAAGGGGGAGGGGGCGGGGCTGCCTGGCGGGCGGTCCCGCAAGGCCGACGCCATGTACGACATGCTGAAAGGTGCGGTAAGGATCTATCAATAGGCAGATTGGAGGAAGTGGGAAACGTCGGTGGTGGTGTTCGAGTTTGGAAATGGGGCACGCGGCGTCACTGGTTACAGGTTGTACCGCGAGTGAGAGACTAGTGTAGCCTGGGATTGTCGGCTTGGCGGAGGACCGCCGGTGCCTGACGTGCGTGGATATCTACGAAGCAGACAGATACTACGAGCTGAAAGATACAACGTCTGTGAGAGAAAACGAGAATTTTCGTCCTGGCCGACCGGTTGATTGTTAAGTCTGACGGGCATGCACGTCAAGAGTTGGTGCTCCGTTGTAGTTGGTTGGCGTGTACTCTTGTAGACGATGGTGCCTAGAACACCCACTTCAAACGTCTAAAACATATATTACAGTGGTGCTGTTGTTGTTGCTGCTGCGGATGCATATGCCTTAGTCACACAGGAACAGTTTTGAGTTTGTAGCATCCGTGCCGATCGAACAGATTCCGCCGTTTCGTGAACAGCATTCGTGAACAAAATAAAACAAACATTTCTTACAGGCATGAAGGAAAGGGGCGTTCCGGTCCATGGCGCGGGATTGCAGGGGCACTTCACGGCCGCGGGTACAGGAATGAGGAGAACCCCAACCCCTCACTCCGTCCAGCGACAGGTGGGGATCGGTGGCCGGGCTGTCCTCGGTGGATGTCTTGGGGCTTGGTCTTAAAAAGTGTTCGTGCATGCACGCGTGTCATCTCGTTGGTTGCTGAGCGCACGGCCGTGCGTTTTTTTTTTGCAATTGCTTCTTCAATCCAACGCACCACTTGACCACCAACACCAATAGGATACCCGATTTTCTCTCATTTTTCATTTTTTTTTTTCGCTTCCCTTGCTCAAGTGTTGCGAATGCGTCAAGAAACAATTTACTCAAGAGTCTCCGTTGTGTGTGTGTGTGTGTGTGTGTTTTTTTTTTTGTCGTGAATTGCATTGTGTTGCGATGCCACCAGCAGCGTCGCAAGGCCGGCACAACAAGCGGCGAACATTTTGTTTTTTTGTCCAAAGGAGCACCATGGCATCTATTCCCCGTGACCCCCCAACCGAAGAGTCACCCCCGCCCTTGCGTCCCCGACAGGTTCGGCGGCTGGGAGAGCTCGGGCTTAGCGTTAACATCAGCGAGATGGACGTGCGCGTCGCCGGGGTGAGACTTGAGTAATTTCTTTCGGTGACGGATGTTGACAAACGTTTTTCGATCTCGGCGTTGAATATTGGCTCAATCCCATAGTCCGTTCCCGGGACAAAATGACACACCGTTTGTAGCCCACACGCAAGGCCGAAATCACCACCCAGCATCGTGCGTCACTATGTCGCGAAAGAACATCGGCGTTCTGTGCGTTTGCGAGAGTATTTGTAGGTACCCTGGCACCCGTCGTGAGCAGCAAGAACAGCCTGGGGAGAAAGCGCACATTCGCGACAGATGGCAAGCATCGGCAGCACACGCCGCCCCATTTTCGCAGGACTTCTCCCACGCTCTCTCCCCTCCCTTGTGACCCTGTTTAAAGCTTATGTTGTGTTGTTAAAGTTGATCTTGTTCTTCGAGAAAATGTCGCGGTTTGGTGTGTTTGAAACGGTCACAACAGCTTTGCCCTTCGTTCGTTGATGAACATGTACTGCAGTTTATGTTTTTTCGTTCCGTCCTCTTTCATTGTATCTTCAACGTGTGTTCGTCTGTACTGTCACATCCGTAAATCATCGTGAACTGTTTCATGCCCAATTTCGTAGGCTTTGGTTGATGATTAAAACAAGTTCGCCTTCGGTTGGTTGTGTTATTTCACTCCGAGCTTCTATGCGAAGCAGGTCATTTCTCCTGATTTGTGTCGGCGATATTCTGCACATTGTGAGCTTTCGTGATGTTTTCGCAGGGAGTGAAATGCTGAGTACTTTAGGGCTTGTTTCACTTCCAGTTCACTATTATAACAACTGCTCAAGACCGGTCTTTATGGGAATCATCTTGACCTTGGGCCAAGAGAGTTCAGTTGCACGATTTATGGGGCACAAATCCTCGTAACGATCTTGGCCAAGATTTGTCCAGGGCCCAAAAGTTGCCCTTTCGAACAAATCTTGGCCCAAGATAATTCCCATCGAATTTGCTGGCCATATCTTGGCGCGGCGACATTTATCTTGTGGGTGCGGCGAGATTACCACAGGTCAGCCCACCTTATCGTCCGTAACCCTATAAAATCTGCACGTGGCACATTCCCAAGGGCCTCTAACGTACCCTGGCTTTACGGTGTCGACGCCACGGGCGCCGACAACGGAGAAAAACGACCAAGGCCCGCAAAAAAAACACATTTTTGCCCTGGCTTGGGCCGCGTGCGTCGTCGACCAAGAGCCCACAACTTCCAACTTGCGAACGGACAGCACAGGTTCACATCTCTCACTCCGCAGTGGACGCATCGAGGCCAAACCTTCGATGCTGCCACCTTCACCAACCGTTCTCCCTCGCACGCAAGTGAGGTGGTTGTGGGGTCTTTCTACCCAGAGATGAAAGCATCGCTGGTGACACGAACTGTTGTGTGGGGGGACCGTTCGGAGCGTACTCTATTTTCAAGTAGATACAAGAGCCGGCGGAACGCGTTTCCATAACAGCTCAGTCGTGTGCGATGCTTCTGTCTCTTGATCGAACCACCCCAAACCCAAGCCCTTTGCACCCCAAGCAGGTCCGTGAGTGCAGATGACGGCACCGAAGGTTTAACCTCGGTAAGCCTACTACGTAGTGAAATACGTGCACGGTTGTCAGTGCCTCTCGGATTGATCAACATTCTATGTCGTTGGACAGCAACGGACCAGTTTTGCTTCTCCGCTTGCATGGTACCGAGGCAACGTCCCCTCTTGCTGCAACCCCATGTGGGCATCCACCGCTAAAATCCACCCGTAGTGTTGAGCCTATGCAGTTATGGGAGGGACAGCGCCTTCTAGAACTGCGTCGTGCTCAGATTTCATGATACCGTGGTATTTTCTGGAACAATTGGCAGTTGTGCCATTCATCAACATCAAGGTGGCAAGACGAATAACACGCCGCCTTTTTTTCAACATTCACAACATTTCACTTTCCCCCCCCCATACATCGCGATACTACATGTCTTGGCGAACATATACTCCGAACACATCTTGGCAAGATAATTCCCAAAGATTGTGTCACCAAAAAGACCGGTCTAACCCTCATTTCAGTTCAGGCCGCCAAAGATTATCGCTGTGGCCGTCGCCGTCCTCGCTCAGTAGCAGTCCGCATTTGTGTTTCACTCGTATCCGTCCTAGTTTCACTCAAGCTTGGACTCAGCAATATTTCGTGTTACATGGATTGACGTCCATTCGCCGGAGCTTTGCTTCGCACAGATAAGCACACTTTCGTCGCTTTTCATTTAGCAACAGTGATAGTGCGGATTTGTGTTTCGCTCGCTTCCGTGGCTGGATTCACTCGAAGCTTGGAATCCTCTTTTTCTCGTGTTGTGGTGTGAATGGCATTGTCCGTTGTGTGTTCATTCGTGGGAGCTCTCTTTCGTACCTCCACTAGGTTGAGCGTATGTCGGTGGCTTTTCACTCAGCAGCAGCAGCAGCAGCAGCAGAAGCACATATCTGTGGTTCGCTTGCTCCCGTGCTAGATCCACTCAATCAAGCGAATCCGCGACATCTCGTGTTCTGGTGAATGCCATTCATTCGTTGCACCTCTCCTCGACACCGATGGAGCATATTTTAGTCGCTTCCCGCAAAGTCGGGGCGCGTCTGCGTGATTGACACGTTTTCTCTCTCTGGTTAGTTCATAGTCCCCCCCCCCGCCCTGCTCTTGGTCGATATTTTTCGTGGTTGAAGTGTGAAAATTCACTTAGCTGCGTTGTTGTGGCCACGATGAAACCCTTCTGGTCATTGCTTACACCTTTGTACCTCACGCGTGGCTTCATTATTTACTTGCTTGGTTTTTTTTTGGAAGCAAGAACTCTGTCAAGGTTCATCTGCTGAACGTTTGGTTTTTGTTCGGTCGATGGGTGCGCTCGTGTCCAGCTGTCTTGCTTTGCGTCGCAGTCCGCTTGTTTGTTTCTTGTTCGCCTGTTTCGGGCATCGTACCGTATCATGTGCCATGCTGTTGCTGCTTTTTCGCTCGGTCTTTTTCTCCTTGTCATTTGTTCTCTGTGCGTTTTCTCTGCTGGTTTCTGGCCGGATTCGTCTTGTTTCTTCTTGTCGTGTCACGTCTTGCTTGCGTTTCCTGCTCTGCAGGTGATGTTTGTTTTGTTTTAGGCTTGCTTAACGTTTGGTGCTTTTCGTGCTTCACCGTTTCATTTGTGTGATAGTTTGAGGCTTTTTTTACCGTTTGGTGCTTTTCCTGCTTCGGCGTTCTAGTTATTCGTGTCATGCTTGCTTAACGTTTGGTGCTCTCGGTGCTTTGGCGTTCTCTTTCTGTTTTCGTGCGCGCACCCCGCCCTGTTTTTTCACTAGCTCCCCGACGGCGTAGATGGCGAAACGGCTCAGGCAGCCATCTACGGCGACATTCTGGAGGCTTGCCTCACCGAGGAGGCCTTCGACGGTCTCACGCTCTGGGGGTTCACCGATCTGCACAGCTGGTGAGTGCTGGCGTGGCTCTACCCCTTTTGCCTGCTGCACGAAGGGCAGTAGCGTCACGCACAAGGGCTTGTTAATCGAAACGCCGTGTGTACACAATACAACACTTCCGTGCGTGGCATGTGTCTGGCTTCTTAAGATTGCCAGGGGACTGCACACTCATTCACTGAGCAGTGTGAACGAATATCCAACAGGGACGGGTGGCCGTGATGTGGTGCCTAGGGACGGAGATTCGGTAGATTCATGGTGCCCTTTGTCCCTGGTGTTTCCGTAGCCATTCGTTAATCGGTGGCAACACAGCGCTCCTGCCACATCGATGAACCAACCCTTGACATTTCCCCCTCGCACCATCCTTCAATGTGGCCGGTCACGGCAACTAGGAACCAATGATGTTCAGTGATCATTGCATTGCGAAAATAGGGGGCAGGGAGTGCGTGCGATTCGCGTCAGGTTACACGCCTGGCCCATGTTCTGTTGTTTTGACTTCTTTGCCGTTTTGTTTTCTTGTCCTTTTATGTGGCTTCGGCGTTTGAATCCATGCGGAACGGTAGCAAGGGTTTCGCGGGCTGTACACCATCGGTAGCGAAGCACCTGCCTGTGGAGTTGTCGATGTTTTGTTCGCCTGAGGCTCCGGTTGACCGAGGAACTTTGCAAGCCTCAGCTTTGTGTAGGTGGTGTAGTCTCTGAAGCATCGTCGTACCCTACTATCGGTGGTTGTTGGCAATTTCCGAACACACGTGCACGCGGCATCAACAAACATCAACGCAACTCTCTACGCCCCCAACAAAAACACGCCTCTCCTTGTCTATTGGTGGCAGGGTGCACAACTTCTACGAGCCGGACAGCCCCCTCCCCTGGGACCAAGAGTTCCAACCGAAGAGGCCGGTGGTCGGGGCAATGCGCGAGGCACTCCTGTGAGCCCCGTACAACCTAACTCGCATGGAATATGTAACCCTGTCTGGAGAGAATTACCTCCCTGTCTCCAAGCGAACAGCTCGTCTCTTCTCTCGCACCCCAAGAGGTTATAGCGCGGCATGACAACCTGTTGATTACCCATTTCCCAAGCCAGGCAGATGCATTCTTGTGTGTACAGCCATACGCAGGCGAGTTCTGAAGGTCAAAAACAAGGCTAAGTCGTGTCCAATGCAAACCGGCATCGACCATATTTATTCACACGCTTTTGTGGGAGAGCCCATTGCCCATTGCTGGCCACGTGCAACTTGCTGCGTCACGGGCGGCAAGGAGCCCGTGTTGTCGTACTGGCCGTCTCTTCGCAAGTCTTGATGTTGCTTTCTGATAGCCTCCCGGCGAGCCCCTCGAAACCACGTCCGAGGAGCTAGGTTTTCGGTTTGCTGTTGTACGTGTATCTCGCTCTTTCTCATCCACAAAAAAAAACCATCAGGGACGCTCCTATCGAGACGCCCCTCTTTCCGCGCTCCCTGGGCCACAGATTGCACGGGATTTGTCGGTATATACCTCTACCCCCCAACACCCCCCCTTGCTTCCATCCAGTGCCCAGATGCAACTGGTATGGTCGCCGAAACTAAACCAAGGGCACGTGGCCAAAGCTCGTTTTCCTACAGGGTGGTAGGAGCAGCAGGAAAAGGCCACAACGACGCTAGAATCAACGCCAGCACTACTACTGGCGCAGCTGTGCGAATGAATGTGCAGAGGCCGAAAACCGTCAATCGGCATCGACTACAATACTGAAAAATCGTGTGGTTGTAGATACCGAGCTTTAGCGCACCCTTGTGGAAGCAGCCACCGTCGCCGCCGCCGTCGCCGCCGGCACCGGCGACGACGCCACCGTGACGGTAGAGTGTCTCAGCTATGCAGGGGCTGGATTCCTAGACTCGTTTCACCTTTGTGGGCCCACCGCCATCAACACTAAAACCAAATCAACTGAGCTAACATCAAGAGGAGGGAATACACAAAATATCTGCATGTGTTGGTATCTTCAATTCCAGAACAAACCCAGCCGCAAGTACAAGTAATATCTTCATGTGTTGATATCTTCAATTCCAGAACAAAAACCCAGCCGCAAGTACGAGTATAAGAAGTATCTCCGTGTGTTTAGATCTTCAATTCAACAAAAAACCGAGCCGAAAAAACGAGCGCCGCGCTGCGGTCTGGAGTGGTGTAATGGGGGTACATATTCCACGATATGGTTCGCCAGAGCCCATGTATCACCTGTTTTTCAGGACCTCTCCCGGATTCGTCGTCATTCTCGCAGGAGGGACTACCCGAAAATGTAACGACGAAAAATCCACCGGGAAATGAAAATTACAAGCTATTTCACCTCGCGGGCGGACAGATAAAAAAAAAAAATGTTTTTCCTGCACATGCATATCTACATATCTACAACATCGAGAAGCTGTGAACTGGAGCCACGCTACAGAGTAGTCCTTGACAGCAGCAGCACTAGCAGCCGCTGCGATATCAACAGCAGCACCCCTGGCAATTGCCTTTTTCTCACCAGATTACTTTCCCGTTCAAATCACCACACTCAACAGCTGTTCGTGTGCGACTCCCTGTCCACCCCCACCCAC